CCCTGTATTCAGGCCTCAGGAGCCTAAAAATGACGATGGTTACAAGTTCGAGGACGACCCGCTCGGATTAATCATATGATCTGCGGACTCCATAGGGAGGGGGCTCCGGCCTTAAATTTCCTAATACCTGAATCGCTTCGCTCACTCCGCCGGCCCATTTCGCATGACTGAGCCTCTTGGGGCCGCTGGGGGGCCTCTTCAGCGTCGCTCGGGGGCCTCCTGAGGGCCTCTTGGGGGCTTTTGGGGCCTCTCAGGGGCCTCTTGAGGCCTCCTGGGGGCTTCTTAAGGCCGAGGGCTCGAAGTGTTGTTTTGTGTTCACCCTTTGGGGCGTCGCTTGGGGCCCTCTTGGGCCCCTCTTGGGCCGTCTTGGATGCCTCTGGGGCCTTCTTGGAGCCCTCTTGGACCATATTGGGGCCTTCTTGGGAGCTTCTTGGGCCCTCTTGGGGCGATCTTGGGGGCCTCTTGGGCCGTCTTGGGGCGTCGGGGAGCCGACGCGCTAAAATCTGTCCAAAACCTAACGAAAAGTAATGAATTTTGCCTCTTGGGGCCCTCTCCCGCCTTGAACTTCTAATAATTCACTCGCAGACGAGGCTCCCGCCTGAAACTTCCGCTAAATTCAAAACTCAGGAGCCCGAACATGAAGATACATACAGGAGATGGATGACCCGCTCGGATTAACTCGCCGGCCCAACGGGCCAGAGGCGTGCTAAGATCTTCACTCACTCAGTCACTCACTCACTCATGCCATACGCCGGAGCGCGTGGGCGAAAGAAGACAAGACAAGGCCAGCCGATTCTCACCGCTTTGCGGGAGCGGCGGCACTACGGCGGTCGCATAAAACACAACGTGCGCGGCAGCAAGAGGAGGAGGAGCAGGAGGAAAGAGGGAAGACAAACGGCCGGCGAATGATACGGACTACGCTTGGAACGTATCCGGCCGAAGGCTGCAAAAAGGACGCCAAGGCACCGGGCATCACATGCAAGGTATGTATAAGCTACATAATGCTACTGGCGATCGGGTTCATCATCATGGTGTGCAATGTGTTCAGAAATACTTCGCCAATCGATGGGGTTCTGCAGGCGCAGCGCCCAAGTATGCTCCGGGCCAAGATGAGCAACCAAAGCCTTGTGTAGGCATTTCGACCATTCGTGTTTGGGCCTGCCTCTCCTCCTCGGGCATGCATTCACGGCTGAAAGAACAGTGCCGGGCTGAAAAGTAAGTTGCCGCAGAGAGTCTGCATCTGGAGCCCGGCCAATTTTGCCAAATAGTAATATCTGCTGTTGAAGAAGTTGCGCGCTGTACTGCTTTTGGCCAGCTTGTTCCAGAACTTTGCTATTCGGTACTCGCGTAATAAAGGCGGGAGGTATATGTAGTAGTCGTCGCAGGCATCTTGCTTGAAATCCATCCAGCCTTTGCCTTTCTGCTTTGTTTAACCACGCCGTGTTTAGTGAGTACATGATTCTGAATGTGACCAGTGCTTGGAATAGATCCAGTTTTCGCTGGTTGCTCAAAGCAGTGTGTTTCCATGCTCTGTCATACTTGGACAATTCGGCCCAAGCTGCCCCTATTCTTTTGTTTAGCTCGGTACCCAACTGCCCATTATTGTACAAAGTAGCGCCCAAATCTGTCATGCTTCGTTTTTCGGCAATGAGTTGCCCCGCCGGCGTCCTCAACGTCACGTCGCTGTTTATCTTGATCGTCTGGAATTTGTCCCAGTGCCGCTCCATTCCAACCCGCACCCCCGCCAAAGCGATGTTGTCTAGGAGGTTTTGTAAGCTGGCTTGGCTTCTTCCGATAAGCAGCGTGTCGTCGGCATACAGCAGCACCGAAAGACTTCCAGAAACCATATCGAACTTGTCATTGTCGCTCAGGTTGTTCACGGCGTCTCGCAGGACCACAGTCATCAACATGACGACAAGAAAAGGCGACAACGGACACCCCTGTGATATTCCAGACATTTGTTTTCTTTCAGAAGATTTGATGGCCCCGTCGGCTACGCAAAATCGCCTGGCCTCATAAATATTTCCAATCAGCGTCAGCATGTTAAGATCCCCGGTAACTGCTAAATGATCCTTCTACTTCGCGCGCGCGGGGCGGCCCCTGGGGGTCCCCGGACGAAAAGTACCCCGGGCGATCCCCAGCAGACTCGGGTCAGAGATGGTTTTCCTCCTGGGCGCCGCCCCCGTGGCTCTCCAGAGAGCCCCAAGAAGGGCCACGAGGGCGCCAAGAGCCCTCCAAGATGGTTCAAGAGTGCTCCGAGATGCCACACGATCGTTCCAAGACGCCCAAGATGGCCCCCAGACGCCCCAAGAGGCCTCCAAGAGCACTCCCCAGAGGGCCCCAAGAGGCAAAAATCATTACTTTTTCCTTAGGTTTTGGGCAGATTTTGGCGTGTCCATCTTTTCGGCTTCCCGACGCCCCAAGAGGCCCCCAAGATCGCCCCAAGAGGGCCCAAGAAGCTCCCAAGAAGGCCCCAAGATGGCCCAAGAGGGCTCCAAGACGGCCCCAGGGGCATCCAAGACGGCCCAAGAGGGGCCCAAGAGGGCCCCAAGCGATGCCCCAAAGGGGGAACACAAAACAATACTTCGAGCCCTCGGCCTTAAGAAGCCCCCAGGAGGCCTCAAGAGGCCCCTGAGAGGCCCCCAAAGCCCACAAGAGGCCCTCAGGAGGCCCCCAAGCGACGCTGAAGAGGCCCCCCAGCGGCCCCAAGAGGCTCAGTCATGCGAAATGGGCCGGCGGAATGAGCGAAGCGATTCAATAACATGCAATGCAAGCCCCTTAAGGAGGGGGCTCCCGCCTGAGCCTTCCTCGCAACTCACTCACAGACGAGGCTCCCGCCTGATACTTCCCCCATATTCAAGCCTCGGGAGCCCGAAAATGACGACAATTACATGTTCGAGGATGACCCACCCGGATTGCCAAGATGTAATGCGGGCCCAGTAAGGAGGGGGCTCCCGCCTGAGACTTCCTCACAGTTCACTCACAGACGAGGCTCCCGCCTGATACTTCTCTCAGATTCAGGCCTCGGGAGCCCAAACATGACGACAATTAAAGGTTCGAGGATGACCCGCTCGGATTGCCAAGATGAAATGCGGGCCCAATAGGGAGGGGGGCTCCCGCCTGAGACTTCCTCACAGTTCACTCACAAACGATGTTCCCTCCTGAGACTCCCCCCATACTCAGGCTTCAGGAGCCCAAAAGTGACGACTGTTACAGGATCTGGATGACCCGCTCGGAATAATAACATGAAATACAAGCCCCGTAAGGAAGGGACTCCCGCCTGAGACTTCCTCACAACGCACTCACAGACGAGGCTCCCGCCTGATACTTCCTCAAGTGTGGGTGTGTGAATGCGTGAGTAAGTGAGTGAGTGAATGATGATGATGATTATAACAATGAGGATGATGATGATGATGATGATGATGATGATGATGAAGCAGAAGAAGAATAATAATAAGAAGGAGAAGAAGAACAATAATAAGAGTGTGAAGATGAGTGAGTGAGTGTGAGTGAAAAGGTGCTGGGTGATGAGGAGGAGAGGGATGGGGTGAGGGGTGAGACTTCCTGTGCGGGGTGTCCAGAGAAAACAGGAAACCCGCTTCGGATGTGGGGAAACACTTCTCGTAAGGCTAGAGGACTTCCGAACCTTCTGAGAAGGCCTTCTCCTGCTCACTTCCCCCCCTCGCTCGCCGCCGAAATGCAGCGGAGAAGCGGGAGTGAAGCAAGGGGGGGGGAATGGAGATATATCTGGGCTCTTCGACTCAGAAGAGGGAAGGCCACGCGATTACTTCAACCCCGATCGGATCGCGCACGTCGCGGCTTGTCCATACCTTTGCCCTCAATTATTCCACGATTGGGGTACAACACGGTCAACAAGAAATGAGCACACGGCTGGTGACCTCCCTGCTGTATGGCTCCACCGCACCACATTTGACACAAGCGGCGCAAGCGAGACACCTCGACATGTGGCGGGCTCCGCAAACGCTGCACCAAAGCAGGATGCCATCTCTTGGGGGGCGCCAGCGCATCGGCGACGCGGCGCCGCAGGCGCCAAGGCATCGAAGAACGCGCCCGGCGGCGGGGACCGACACCGGCCGCGCGCCGCACGCACCACGCCCGAGCTGGACCGAGCCGCGGAGCCCGCTCGGCGTCGGATCACGCGCGGAACGCTCTGCAGAGAGCAAGAACACGCCTGCACATCCGACGCTGCAGATCGTTGCAGCATCGTGACGAACCACGGCGGGAGCCCCATAGGCTCCAGCTTCCCGCGTCACCTCTCGAACCGGATCGATCCGTGAGGTGCCAGGGCGCCGACGCAGGCCGAACGCGCCCAGCGTGCCGCAGAACTGCAGCGCAGAGGCCCGAGGGCAGCAGCGCCCCAGGACAGCGAGGCACTCACAGTGCAGCGCAGCATCAGCACAGTGGGCTTCCTCCAAGCCCAGACATGCGACGTCCTGGTTTTTGCGATACGGGGCCCCTGGAAGTCCCGACCCTCTCCCCAGGACCAGTTTTTCATCCTGAGTCGTTGTTTGACGGTCCCGAGGCTTGGCGAGCCCCCCCCCCCCGAGGCCGAAACTGGCCACAAACCTGCCGCCCTGATTCTGATTTACGACCCGATCGTGTCTGGGAGTGTAGCTCAGCATCAGCACGGTGGGCTTCCTCCAACCGACAGGCGCCCGCCCGCCGCGGGCGCCCCGCCCTGCCCGCGATCATGGGCAAATGTTCCACCACGAGTGTCCTATCTAGGACGGGGGAGAAGGGAGGATGGGGAGCTCCTCCTTCTCCTCCTCCATCCTCCTCCATCCTCCTCCATCCTCCTCCTCCTCCTCCTCCTCCTCCTCCTCTCCTCCTCCTCCTCCTCCTCCTCCTTCCTCCTCCTCCTCCTCCTCGTCCTCCTCCTCCTCCTCCTCCTCCTCCTCCCCCTAGTCCTCCCCCTCCTCTCCTCCCTGTGGCAGTGGCGGTATAGAACATCGGCCCGGCCCGCGAGGCGCCCCCGTCGCTCCTCCGCCGCCTCCGCCTCCCGCAGCAGCGCTGCCGCGCCCGAGCGCAGGCCGCCGCGCCCCACGCCCTGCCCGCCCAGCAGCACCTGGCCCCCGCACCTGCCGGAGGCGCCCCCCCCACATCAAGGGGCGACGAGCCAAAACGACGAGCCAAAGACAGCCTCCTCCTCCTCCTCCTCCTCCTCCTCCTCCTCCTCCTACTCTCCTCAGTCCTCTCCTCTCCGCCTCCTCCTCCTCCTCCTCCTCGTAGTCCCTTACTCCTCCTCCTCCCCTCCTCCTCCTCCTCCTCCTCCTCCTCCTCCTCCTCCTCAACCTCCTCCTCCTCCTCCTCCTCCTCCTCGTGGTCCTCCTCCTCGTCCTCCTCGTCCTCCTCCACCTCCTCCTCGTGGTCCTCATCCTCCTCCTCTTCCTCCTCCTCCTCGCCCTCCTCCTCCTCCTCCTCCTCCTGCTCCTCACGCTCCGCTTGCTCCTCCTGCTCCTCACGCTCCGCCTCCTCCTCCTCCTCCTGAGCCAGACATGATCGCGTCGTAAAAATGATGTTAAAATTTCCGGACGGAAGGTGCTTGGCCCATTTCGGCCTCGGGGGGGGCCCTCGCTGGGCCTCGGGTCGGGAGCGTCAGAAGACGCCTCGGGATGAACAGCCGGTCCCAGGGAGAGGGTCGGGACTTCCAGGGGCCCCGTGTCGAAAACATCAGGACGTCGCATGTCTGGGTCCCAAGGGGGCCACGAGCCAAAACGGGTCCTATGATACGCAAGAAAAGTGCCTCTCATCCTTCGGGAAGGGGACGTCAGTTAGGAGGGCCAAACACATTAGGGATAGGGGGCCCTTTCTGCAGATGAATCAGACCGAACCGCCCAAATCTATGATCTCCGATGCAGAGACGGGGACCCAAGTGAGGCCACGTCACCCTCGTGTTACCATGGTCAGGAGGTTCCTGGCCCCCGCACCTGGCCCCCGCGCCTGCAGAGACCCCCCCCCAAAGGAGCGACGAGAAGAAACTGGCCCAGCACCCACGGTCGGTGACAGGAACACCGCGAGCTTAGGAGGGGAACGCGGCGCAAACAGAGGTTTCCGACGGTCCGCGCGGCTTTCTTGGATCTGCTCTGGACCTCCCTCCCTGGCGCGCGGAGCGCGCCAGGGCCGGCGCCTCCGGCGCCGCCAGGGGGGCCCAACGCGGATCCGAAAAATCCGCGCAAACCGTCAAACGTTTCTGTTCATGACGTTGTTGTGCTCTTTTTTAAAGTGTGAAAAAACTGAAAAAACTGTTGATTATCTTCGAGATAAGAAGGAAAAAACAACGCCACTAACATAAGCTTCCGACCGTCCGCGCGGACGTTTTGGCTCCGCGCTGGAAGCGCGGGCGCTCCCACGCGCGACCTGGCTCGGGCAGCGTAGGCGCCAGTGTTGCCGCAGTCGTCGACCCCGTTTTCTTGCGTCGCTCATTCACGGGGCCCAGGAGCACACACGAAAATCCACACAAGTCCCAGGATTCCCCATATTTAAACAGATTTTCTTGACATTCGTCTTCCCCCCCACTTCCCATGTTTTCCCATCTTCTCTCGGAAGTCGGCATTTGACAGTGTCTGTATGTTTTTGTTCGCCTCCTGGTTCATATGGGGTCCGAGTGCAGTCAAAGTCCGTAGTAAGGATGCAAGGTATGTGGTGCAAGGCCGTTGGAAGTCACATTGCCATTTAGAGCTCCTGGTGGGTCCACATTGGCTCAGGACTGGCCGAAGAAGCAGGGATGCAAGGGTAGCCTTGATAAAGCAGCGCATCCTTGCTATGGATTTTGACGGTAGGCGGGGTCGGGGGATGGCGCCGCGTCGCCGGCGCATCGCCTGGTGCATCGCCGATGCACCGGCGACGCGTCACCGTCGTCCCCGTTGGCGTGGAGAAAATCGAGCTCCACATCGAGCCGCATCGCCGATACATCGCCGATGCGGCGCGATCTCCCGACCCCATCTAGTCGGACCCCAGGTCTCGCCATCGCTCGCACGTTCATTCCCCGTGCATCTTTCGGTTTCGTGCGTGTGTTGCTTCACAAGGTGACCCAACATGCTCCTCGATGGTCCTCGCCAGGAACAAATGCACACGTCCGAGCGATGCAAACCCATACATGCGACGTCCTGACTTCTTCCATACGGGGCCCGTGGAAGTGCCGACCCTTTCCCCAGGGACCAGTTCTACATCCTGAGCCGTTTGCTGACGAGGCCTGGTGAGGGCCCCCCCGAGGCCGACACTACTGGCCACAGACCTGCCGCCCCAGTTCTTGTTTACGACGCCATCGTGTCTGGGAGTGCAGCTCCGCATCAGCACGGTGGGCTTCCTCCAACCGACGGGCGCCCGCCCGCAGCGCGCGCCCCGGCCTGCCCGCGAGAAAAGGGGCAACTGTTCCGCCACCGCTGTCCTGTATACGACGGGGGAGAAGGGAGGATGGGGAGCTCTTCCCCCTCCGTCCCCTCCTCCTCCGCCTCCGCCTCCTCCTCCTCCGCCTCCTCCTCCTTCGAAATGGGCCAAAAACCTCCCGCCCTGATTGTTCTACGACGCGATCGCGTCTGGGCAGCACTTGGAAGGCCCAGCACCTGCTGCGCAGGAGCCCGGCGCGCGTCGCGAGCGCGGGGGCGGCCAGCGCCAGCCGGCCAGCGCACCGGCACGCGCCGCCGAGGTCCCGGAGGACCTCTCGTTGGAGGCCCAGGGCGGCTAGTGGGCCCTCCAGGGGGAAGTGGAGGAGGAGGAGGAGGAGGAGGAGGAGGAGGAGGAGGAGGTGGGAGGGAGGAAGAGGAGGAGGAGGAGGTGGAGGGAGGAGGTGGGAGGAGGAGGAGGAGGGAGGGGAGGAGGAGGAGGAGGAGGAGGAGGAGGAGGAGGAGGAGGAGGAGGAGGAGGAGGAGGAGAAGGTCCAGCGTTCCGTTGCTCCCATCGTACTTCTGAGCCTGTTCTGAGGGTGGAGGGCCCAGAGGGTGAAACGCACATGGGCTGTTGCACCTCGAAAATCAATCCGTCTTAGGATTGACCGTTTGCAAGTTCAGGCCTCGGAAGCCCATCGGAACAGCATTTCAGATTTCACCCTTTGCCCTCCACCCGAAGAAAATGCCCGGGCACTTAAGGGCCACATCCCAGAAATAACTTCGAGCACCCAGAACAGTGTCGAAGCAGTGTCGAAAGAGCGTCGCCTCCCAGGGCCCGACACATGAAAACCTTCAAGGTTCGGTACTTTCCTTGTGCTCGAAATGCTTTCTGGTGGCCGAGACTACACTAGGTTGTAACCTCATAAGTCCAGCGCACGGGGGGTGGTACAACAGCTTTGGTGCAATTGTTTTCGGTGGGGTTGCAATCCCAGACATGATATCGCGTCGTGAAAAATCAGGAAGGGGAATTTTTTGGCCCGTTTCGCCCTCGGGGGGCCCTCGCCAGGCCTCGGGACTGTCAAAGAACGATTCAGGACGAGAAACGGGTCCCGGGGAAGGGGTCAAGACTTCCTTGGACCCCGTATTGAAGAAATCAGGAAATCGCACGTCTGGGGATTTGTGGGGTTGCAATGCGTTTGGGGTGTGCACTACATTCCGGTGCGCAAGTATACTGCAGGACTTCGGCGCGCAGTGCGTCAGTTGCAACACGATGCAGTAAAAGTCTCTGGCGCAATTCATTTTCAATGCAATTGCCCCACATCTTCGATGTAAATTTGCAATGTAGATTCTGCAGTGGAGGCCAGTCCACCGGAAACCTTCCACAAGAAACCCAACCCTGAGAACCCAGGACGTCCGTTGATTTTTGTCGTGGGAACGTCAAGCTTTCCATCGCAAAACCATCGAAGTCCAAGAAACCCAAGGCACCTTCTTGGCATGGGCCTCCACTGTATTGCACCACACCCTTCCAGCTGGGCCCCCGCTTGGGTCCCGAGGAGAGCGGTTTCATGATGCAGACCTTCTTCCGTGGTGAAAAAGCAAACTCGACGGCAGGCTTGTCTGACCCTCCTCGGCCTCCGGGGGATCCCTCACGGGGCCCAGGGGCCGTCGAAGAGCAGAGTCAGCCCGTATCAGGAGGATGCGCGCTGAGGACGCAGCGGCCTTGGACGGCCATGGCGACACCTTGCGAGCGGGGCGTGGCCAACGAGAGCGGCCAAGGATGGGCCGAAGGGGCAAGCATGCACGGGTACCCTTAGGAAGGTTGCCCGTCCTTGCTCTTGCCGTCGCTCGGACGTCCATTTCCCGTGCTTTTTCCGGTTTCGTGCGCGTTTTTTCGCCAAGTGATCAAGGATGCTCCTCGATGGTTCTCGCCGAGAAATCATGCACACGTCCGAGTGATGCCTAGTGCTATGCAGGCTGACTGTAGACTCGGGACGAATAGCGGTGGACGTTCCTGGGCCGACGGCCCCTGAGATCCAAGTGCCGCACTTTTCGCACGCTGGGCTTTTTTGCTCGACCGGCTCCGGCCCCAGGGCCCTGGCATGTAGGTCTGGCTCGGGACATGCCGCAGAGAGATGGGGTCTAGGTCTTCGGTCGTGATTTTGCACGCTGTTGCATGTGTTCCGCAACGTTGGATCCCAAGGTCAATTTCAGGATGCAGACCGGGCGTTACCATTCCAAGAGCTTCCAGGGAGTTCCATAATCTGGATCCCGCGCTGGGCAACAAGAGGGCCTGGAATAATCTCGGAACGTATCACCACGTCGACTTCTCCTTGCTCCTCTGATCATGCACCCTCGGAGGCCCACGCGGACTTCTGGGGGGGTTCCAGCGGCCAGTATCCGAGAAACTCGCGCGGGCCACCGACAACCAACGGCACGCTTGTGCCGTGGCGACCTGCGCGTGGAGTTCTGACAGCACGCAGCTCGTGCAGCCTTCAGCGATCAGCAGCTTGTGGATCGACAGAGCGCTCCGCTTGGGCCGACTCTGGGCCGCTCGCGGCATTCAACCTTGAGCGCCCGCGGCGGGGCCGCCGCCGCGGCGGCGCGACACGGACCGTGTCGTTCTGCTCGGCTCCCGGGGGCCTGGAGCTGCTCCTCGGAGCACTCGTCGAACTTCTCGACGGCCAGCTCGACGATGGTGGGGCAGTGCCACGGGGCGCCACCACTATAAACGAGGCCATGGGACACACATGAGGAATCGAACTCTATACGCCGACGTTTTTTTTTCCGGGCCTGCATTGAAATTTGCACTGGAGAGCGGATCCTGGTGTATACGGGACCCTAGTGTATACATTGGTCATTGCTCCCCTGGGACAGTTTTTTTGTTTCCACAGATCGCAGCCCCCCTCGCAGTCGACCTGTGGAGGGGGGCCATCCCCTTTTGTCAGCCCACGGTGCGGCTTTGCGTAGGCTGCACACCGTGGACCCGCGACAAGCCCCCCTCCCCAAAACGGGGTATCCGAGCGTGCGCTCCCTCGGACAGAACACTAAGTAAACTGAGAAACGGACGATCGCTGGCGCACTGGCGATCGCTGGCGCACACAGGCCCAAGGAGGAGGAGGAGGAGGAGGAGGAGGAGGAGGAGGAGGAGGAGGAGGAGGAGGAGGAGGAGGAGGAGGACGAACGGAGCGGAAGGGCCCGCGGGGGAGTGCACAGCACGAGAATCTAAAAAGCCAGGCTTAACGATGCACCCGCACGAAGGTGCACCATCAGCCGAAATTTCCAAGCACTAATAAGGCAGGCCCAGCCCGCCCCAAGGAGAGCCCAGAAAGGGAACCGAGAGGGCCCCAGGAGACCACCGAAAACCAAGAAAATGGGACACCGAGCCCCCCCCCCTCGGTGTACTGGGGGGGCCCCGGTACACCGAGGGGGGGGGGGTCGGTGTCCCATTTTCGGCGGTTTTCGGGGGGTCGGCCCCGGGCGCCGCCCCCCACCTCCGAGGGCGCCCTGGGAGGGTCACGGGCCCCCCAAAAAAACAAACTGGAAGACACCCAGACGAGGTAGACTATAGCACTTGAAGGCGACAGAGGAGGAGGAGGAGGAGGAGGAGGAGGAGGAGGAGGAGGAGGAGGAGGAGGAGGAGGAGGAGGAGGAGGAGGGGGAGGAGGTAGGAGGAGGAGGAGGAGGAGGAGGAGGAGGAGGAGGAGGAGGAGGAGGAGGAGGAGGAGGAAGAAGACAAGGGAAGGGGCGAGCGCGGTAAAAACAGCACGCTGCCGCCCGACCGCGGGGCGCAGAGAAGCCTACTCCCTGGCCAGCGCCTCGTCCGCGCCGGCCAAGTAGTCGCCCAGGGCGCCCTGGGCCGCGCGCTGGCCCCCAGCCTCGTCGCCAACCAGCCCGTGGACGACCCAGGAGGCGCGGGCGGCGTGGGGTGGCAGGCAGCGCCGCGCCATCCTCGCGCGCCGCGCAGCGAGGGCCACCCCGACGTCGGCCCTCCAGCGCCGGAGCACGTCCCTGGCGTTCGTGCTCGCCCTCCGCGCGAGGGCCTTGGCGCAGAAGGCCATGACCCGCTCGACGTCGGGGTGGGCGCGGCCCTCGTAGGACCAGACCAGCGGCTGCAGGCACGGGCCTGCGTCCCCCCACTCGGCGACCGCGGCCCGGTACCTCTCAAAATTGCCGCGGTGGGCGGTCGCCACGCCAGTCGGCCCCCGCGGCGGCGGCCTCCGGGCTGACGATCGTCACGTCCACAGCGGCCTCGGGGTTCGGCACCGCCGCCGTCGTGAAGATATCGCCAGGCCGCGCGCCGGGCTCCGCCTCCACCAAGCCCCGCTGATCGAGCGAAGCCCCGCTGTCGACCTCGTGCATGCGCTCGAACACTGTGCGGACTACCGCGTGGTGCCCCTTGGTGCGCTCGGCCTTGGCACAGCACGTGCTGTGGGAGAGTCGACAATCGACAAGGCCGCCACACTCCGGGCACTCGTAGGAGTCCGGTACCACGCTCGCGCCGAGGCGCAGCTGCAGGCACAGGGCATACTCATCCTCGCGCATCACGGGCCCCTCGCAGAAGTCGAGGCGCCGGACCCAGATGTGGTCGACAGACGGGTCGCGGAGCTCCTGCAGGCGCCGCATGTCGGAGAAACGCCCGGCGCCCTGGAGACCCTCGACGAGCCGCCGCAAACGAGAATTGCCCACGAGGATGCTGAGCTGGCGCTGGAACCCGGTGACGGTCAGCCTCGTACCGCCCCCTTCGCCAGGGCGCTCTGGCAGGGCATCGACGCCGTCGTCGCCGCTTCCGAAGGGCCCGCCGCCGGCGGCGACATCTCCCCCCAGCGGCGCCTCTGCGCCGCCTGCCGGCGCCACCCGCTCGTCCTCCGCGAGCGCCGTCCACTGCGCGCGAGGCGCTGCGGCCTCGCCGCCCTTGCCCTCCATGCGGCGGGCCCACGCCGCGGCAGCGGCGTCGGCCGCCTCCACGACGAGCCGCTCGACCTGGGCTGCCTCGGCGTCGTCGAGCTCCGCGCGCGTCATCCTCGTCGCCTTCCGCGCAGCGGCGTCGTGCTCAGCGAGAAGCTGCCCCGCTGGGAGAAGGCCAGCCTTCGCCAGCTCCGCGTCCAATTGCTGCACCTTCGGTCGCGCCATCGCGCGGCTGGCGACCACGGCGGGCAAGGCCACGTCGCGGGCGCGCCTCATGCCCAGCCCACCCGCAGGCTCAAAAACGCCTGGGCTCGGGACTCCGCGTCGCAGCCTGGAACGAGCCGGTCGAGCGTGCCCTTCTGGACGCGGTCAAACGACGACAAGGCATGGGCCTCTTCCACTAGCTCGTCGCCGCACGCGCGGAGCAGGTGGGTCACCTTGGCCACCCCGTGGCAAGCCTGGGATAGCGCCAGCTCTGCTCCAGAGCCACCGATCCGCCGCACCTTGTCGTGCATCTTCTGGGCGATCGAAGCCTTGGTGCGGAAGTCTGCGACCCTCTCTTGCGCTCCGCCCAGCGCCACCCCGAGGCTCTTGCCCGGCGCAGTCGGTGCTTGGAGAGTACACAGCGTCTTCAGGCTCTCTAGGTCCCACCTGGCTGCGTTCTCGCGCACCTGCTCCTCCGTGGCGTACAGCGTGACGACGGTTTTGCCGAAGTTGCGCTTGCCGCCCTGCGCCGCCGTCACGTACGCCTGGAGGTACGGGGCGGCCAGCTCCGGCAGCAGGTAGATGGTCCCGTCGTCGAGGTACCACACGTCCACAACACCTCCGCCCTGCTGGGTCGCGTTCGCCGGGTGCGTCCCCCGGGAGCCGGCCTCGTTGAGCGCGGCGCGCTCGATGGGCTGCTTGCGGTCCCACTCGAGCGCCAGGGCCTCGGAAAAAAAGTATACACCACACCACCCCACCACACCACCCCAGCGTCACCACAATGCGCCGCAGCATCCCACCACACCACCACACCACACCACCCCACCACACCACCCCAGCGTCACCACACCACCCCAGCGTCACCACACCACCCCACCACACCACCCCACCACACCACCCCATCCCACCACACCACCGCCCTGGGACATTGAGGAAAAAAGTATACACCACACCACCCCAGCGTCGTCCCCGACACTCAGAAAGTCCTGGGATTGAAAAACAGGCCGCCACTGGTAATGTATATGTTCCAGCTTCCGAACAAAAATATACAGACGCAAATCCAAGAATTCTCCACATGTCCTTATATTTTACCAGGTTTCGCCCCTCCCCCCCCACTTCCCTTAGTTTCCAATCTTCTCCTGGGAATCGACGATTCATTTTGTCTCTGTGTTTTCACCCCTCCCGACATCAGAGGGGGTCGCCGCTGCCAAGAGAGGAGACGCAATGTTTAGAGGCCTGCTAGATAGGCTCTGAGCAGATGGGGTCGGCGGATCGCGCCGCATCGAGAATGGATCGCCGATGCATCGCCGATGCCTCGGCGACATCGGCGATGCCTCGACGACGCCTCGGTGACGTCGGCGTGGAGAACATCGGGCCCCACATCGAGCCGCATCGCTGATGCATCAGCGATGCGGACCGATCCTCCGACCCCATCTACTCCGACCCCATCCAGGAGGCGCAGAATTGAAGGGGCCCAGGGACACACAAATCAACACACACACACACACACACAAATAACAGGATCCCCCCTACTTTCCAATAGTTTCAAGGTTCTTGTCTTCCCCCCACTTCCCATATTTGAGCGATGCGGACCGATCCTCCGACCCCATCTACTCCGACCCCATCCAGGAGGCGCAGAATTGAAGGGGCCCAGGGACACACAAATCAACACACACACACACACACACAAATAACAGGATCCCCCCTACTTTCCAATAGTTTCAAGGTTCTTGTCTTCCCCCCACTTCCCATATTTTCCCATATTCTCTGGGAAGCGACGATGAATTGTGTCTGTGTTTTTTTCCCTCCTGAAGAACGTTCTCTCGAGGCAGGGGGCCCACGAGACTTTGCCACGGAGCCGCTCCGAGGTGACCCCAGCGCGCCCAGAGGAAGGCCTCGCCGCGCTGCGCCCCTCGGGCCTCGCTTTTTTGTTTGCTGGAGGAGCTGGTGACCCCCTAGTGTTAGGTCGGCCATGTCCCCCTACAGAGGGATTTTGGACGACAAATCTAGGGGGCAAACAAACCTACCTCGCTTTTGACCACCCTCGCTTCCAAGAGATACCAAACGATGCCAAACTACGGCATGTACTGGTCAGGCAGCTTGACGAGGAGGCGCGTGGTATGACTTGATTTTGCCTGGAAGGGAAAGCGGGGTAGGCAATTCACGCTCTGAAAATCAGGAATATTCCAAATAACATCAAACATGACCAACAAGTATGAAAAACATCGTCCCCAGACTATTGTTGCACTATGTTTGCATCGTCATCCTGTAGAGGGACGTGCCCAACTTAACTCTGGCGTTGTGGATGTATCATTGAATTAAACATGTGTTGATCTTCTACACAGATGGAAACATGCTCTTGAATGTATAAAGCATACTTTTAACATGCCGGAGACATGTTTAGCGCCTGTTTCAAACATCTGGGAAGTGTTTGCCAACATGCGCCCCCTGGCGGCGCGCACAAGGGGGTGGGGGGAGGGGGAGGGCTTCTCACAAGGAGGCTGCTTCTTGGAAGGCGCCGGCCTGACATCTACAGATACGGCACGCGCCTTCTGAAAAGCAGGGGTGCTTCTTAGAAGGCGCGCGCGGCTGCTTCCTCTCCATCGACCGTCGACCACACCCCCAGTGTCGGGTCGGGCGACAGGAGAAGAGAGCAAAGGGGGGGTTTGAGAACAGCTCACGCAGCTGGTTTTCCCGGCGCCTCCCGGCGCCGGAGGCGACTATGTATCGAGGAATGGGCCCCTCGGTGGGGCCGAAACCAGCTGCACGCAGCAAATTTCGTAACCCCCCCTTTCCCAATCCCCCCCTTTCGTCCAGCCCGACTGTGGCGACCCCCCCCGACACTGCCCGAGATGGTGGCGACGAGCTCCGGCGAGACGGCGTCTGCGCCGGCCTCCCCGAGCACCTCTTGAGCAGGGACCGGCCGTCCCGGCACTCCTATAGTCCTACCACGGAATGTTCGTAGAACCCCAAACTGTTCTCATCAGAAAAACAAAGTTCTTAGAACATGAACCCGATGTGATAAAGCAAGACAGTTCCGACCAGAAATGTTATTTCGTGGGAGCCACAGAAAGTTCTTAGATCATTATTTGGTAGGACTCTTGGCACGCCCGGACGCTTCGCCACTGCTTGAACCTCGCACAGCTCGCCGGCCAGCGCCGCGAGCTCGGGGCTGCCCGGCAGGGCGGCGTGCAGGCTGAGCGCGTTCAGGAGCTCCTCCCGCGCCGCGGCAGCGTGCCTGGAGCCCAGACCCCCCCCCTCGGGCAACGAAATCAAATCGCGGCGGGAAGAGTTTTCGGTACTTTCGGCCTCCAGGGGGGCCCCTGCTGGCCCTCGGGGCCGTGGACAACACGACTCAGGATGAAAAAACCCGGTCCAGGGGAATGGGTCGAGACCGCCAGCGGTCGACGTACCGAAAAAATCGTGACGTCGGGGGTCTGGGAAGGGGGACGATCAGGGGAGGGGCCGGTTCAGGGGGGGGCGGACGTCGACCTGGAATCGCGGCGATGCGTCGCCGAGGCCTCGGCGACGCAGCCATCGGGCTACCACTGGGGACGCTGCATAGGGACGCCTCGGTGTCAGGAGGTCCCTCCTGGCTCAAGATAGCTGCAAGGTGGCCCCAGGTAGCCCGAGATGGTCTCCAGGATGGCTCGCGACGGCCCTCCGTGGCTCAGGATGGCCCCCGGCAACCGGCACCGGCGCACAACGCCTGCAAGAGGCCCAAGACTGCGTGAGATCTGGAGGGCCCGACGCAACCGCGACGACGATGCCTAGGCTGTTTCTTGGGTTCCCCAGATCCCCGCGGCCGCGGAGTCGGGGGGCGGTGGTGGGTCGCCCGCGCGCTCCTCGGGACGTTGGCTCTTAGCCAGGCCCCCCCTCGGGGGCGAAATGCAGGTGGTGCGGGCGCTCTGGGGGACACCATGCGTTCCCCCCCCCCCCCCCCGAGGTGTTCCCCCACCTCCCCTCACCTCCTCCTCATCCTCCTTCCTCCTCCTCCTCCTCCCCTCCTCCCTCCTCCTCCCCCTCCTCCTCCTCCTCCTCTCTCCTTCCTCCCCTCCTCCTCCTCCTCGCCCTCCGTCCTCTCCTTTCCCTTCCTCCTCCTCCTCCCCTTCTTCCTCCTCCTCCTCTCCTCCCCTACTCCTCCTCCTCCTGCCTCCTCCTCTCCTCCTTCCCTTCTCCTCCTGCTCCTCCTCCTTTTACTCTCCTCCTCCTCCTCCCCTCCTCCTCCTCATCCTCCTTCCTCCCCCTCCTCCTCCTCCTCCTCCTCCTCCCTCTCGTTTCGGCTACGCGCAAGAGTGACTCTAGGCAAGAGCGACCTTCAGTGCGCAAACTACCGGGGAGCGGGGTGGCCAAATCCAAGCGCGCAAGCAGCCACTATTGCATCGCGCTCAGCGATCGGGGGGGGGGGGCGGTGAGCCCGCATCAAAGGTCACTCCAGCGAAGGGTCACTCTTATCGCCCCCGAGTAGAGGAAGAAAAAACGGCATGAACATAAACTTTCAACGGCCCGCGCGGACTTCTTGGATCTGCTCTGGACCCCCCGCCCTGATGCGCGGAGCGCGCCAGGGGCGGCGCCGGAGGCGCCGCCAGGGGGGCCCAGCACGGATCCAAGAAATCCGCGCGGAGCGCCAGAAGTCAATGTTTATGGCGTTTTGTTCTTCTTCGACACCAGGCCCCCATCGGCGATGAGTGGGCGACTGGGTGGACGCGCTCCCGCCAGGAGCTCTCGTCTCTCCCGCCGTTGCCCGCACAGACACAAACCTCTGCGAGGCTGGGGGTCGATGCGTCTCCCCGCTGAGCTCTTGTCCCCTCCCGCCGCTGCCCCCGAGGGGCCCAGCCCCCCGACGTCGTGATTTCTGTTCGCGGCGTCGACCCCCGGTGGTCTCGACCCCTTCCCCGGGACCGGTTCTGCATCCCGAGTCGCTCTCTGGCGGCCCCGGGCTCCGCGAGGGCCCCCGGAGGCCGATGGGGGTCCGGGACCGTTGCCCCCAGGGAGGCGGGGGGGGGGGGGGGGGCGCCGTCCCCGCGACCTGCACCTCCCGCGTCCAGTCAAGGGGCCCTGGGACACACAACGAGAGAGACACCACTCACAGGATTGCCCCCTGGTTCCCTTGTAGTTCCCTGGCTGTTGCCTTCCCCCCCACTTCCCAGATGTTCTCAGGTGTTCCTGGGAGTCGACGATGCATTGTGTCTGTGTGTGTGTGTCTCTGTGTCTGTGTGTGTTTTCCCCGTCCTGATCTGAGTGCGCCGGGCGGCAGGCTGCCACCGCGGTCGGGAGCTGTGGCTGGGCGTGCCTCGCCGCGGGCGCTGAGGCCCGACACGCTTCGGCGCGACGCGCTGGCACGTCCCAGTCTTGGGTCGGCCACGTCCTCCTGCAGGCGGACTTCTTCGGGGAGGAAGCAACGATGGGCAACACAAGCGCCACAGTGAGCAAGAGTAGGGGAAGAATCGTCCCCGAGCTATTTCTGTGTGCTCTTTCTTGATTTTCCTCCTGTAGAGGGACACGCCGAACGTAAGCCTAGGAGGGGGAGGAGGGAGGAGGAGGGAGGAGGGAGGAGGGAGGAGGGAAGAGGAAGGAGGAAGGAGAACGGAGAAAAGGAGGAAGAAGGAGGGAGGAAGAAGGAGGGAGGAGGAAGGAGGAAGGAGGAAGAAGGGAGCAGGGAGGAGGGAGGAGGGAGGAGGGAGGAGGGAGGAGGGAGGAGGAGGAGGAGGAGGAGGAGGAGGAGCTCAAGCCGCCGCTTTGCGTCGTCTTCCTGCTTTGCGCCCCAAACATCCGCGGCCCGAACTTTTCCCAGCCTTCCGCCCCGCGAAGCGGAAACGGCAGGCTCTCCGCTCGCAGGGCGCCAGCGTGTCGCGGGGGAGGACCGCCGCCGCGAGGCGCGGAGCAAACGCTCCTGACCGCAGGGATCGCGCAGTCGATCACACACATCATTGATCTACCCTCGAATGTTTTTTGTTCGTCGAACCGTCGGAGGAATACGCAGCAGCCCACGAACGGTTTACTCTGCGCCCTCCTAGATGCGACGAAAAAAATGCAGGGCGACTCAGTCCTGCAGCTGGTTCGGCTACACGCAGGAGTGACCCTGGGAAAGAGTGACCTTTGGTGCGCGGCTTTCGGGGGGCCGCGGGGAGACCAAACCTGGGCGCGCGAGCCGCTGCTACCGCTTCGTGCTCAGCCCTCTGGGGGCCCACCTGAGCCCACACCAGAGGCCACTCCGGCGAAAGGTCACCCTTACGTCTAGACGACACTGGCCCCCTGCTCGAAGGGAAGCGGTGGCACTCGAGCGCTGGCGCGCCCTCTCGACAGGCCCCCATCGGCGAGGCACTTGGGCGACTGGGGACCGGCGCGTTCCGCCCCGCCCCCGCCCCAGAGCCACGACCCCCCGGCGCTGCCCCCGAGGGGAGGAGGCGGCCTGCCCCCTCGGAGCGAGGCGGAGGGGGAGGAGCGAGGAGGAGGAGGAGCGAGGAGGAGGAGGAGGAGGAGGAGGGGGAGGAGCGAGGAGGAGGAGGAGGAGGAGGAGGAGGATGAGGAGGAGGAGGAGGAGGAGGAAAAGGCCGGAAAAGGGGGGAAGGGGCCGGGGCAAAAGGAGCGAGGAGCGAGGAGCGAGGAGGAGGCGGAGGAGGAGTGAGGAGGAGGAGAGGAGAGAGAGGAGGAGGAGGAGTAGGAGAGGAGGAGGAGGAGGAGGAGGAGGAGGAGGAGGAGGAGGAGGAGGAGGAGGAGGAGGGAGGCAGAGGAGGAGGAGAGGAAGGAGGAGGGGAGAGGTGAGGAAGGGAGGAGGGAGGAGGGAGGAGGAGAGGAGGGAGGAGGAGGGAGGAGGGAGGAGGTGAGGAGGGAGAGGGAGGAGGGAGGAGGGAGGAGGGAGGAGGGGAGGAGAGAGGGAGGAGGAGGAGGGAGGAGGAGGAGGGAGGTGGAGGAGGGAAGGGGAGGAGAGGAGGAGGAGGAGGAGGAGGAGGAAGAGGAGGAAGGAGGAGGAGGAGGAGGAGGAGGAGGAGGAGGAGCGAAGGAGGAGCGAGGAGGAGCGAGGAGGAGCGAGGAGGAGGAGGAGGAGCGAGGAGGAGGAGGAGGAGGAGGAGGAGGAGGAGACCTGTACCTCCTGAGAGGGGGGTGGGGCGTGGCGGTCCCCCCTCGACCTGCACCTGCCGCGCGCCTGCCGCGCGGCCTGCGCCCAGAGAGGTGGCGGGCACTGGGGCGTCTGGTGCGTGGCGATGCACGGGCGATCGCCCAGACGTCGATGCCTCGGGCGTTTCTGTTCGGCGTCGTGCGTGTGTGCTTTGTGGCAGGATGATCCCACATGCTCCTCGATGGCCCTCGCAGAGAGGATCTGCACACGTCCGAGAGATGCCGAGTGGATGGGCGATCTTGGGGGTCGATGCGTTCCCCCCCAGAGCCCGCGCCCCCCCCCCCCCTCCAGCGTTGCCACCCCGCAGCGCCCCATGCGTCGCCACACCCGCGCCAACGAGGCGCGGGCCCCCGCGCGCTGCTGCCTCAGCTCCAGGCTCCCGCTGTCCGGGACCACGGAGAAGACGTTGACGGCAGCCTGCAGCCTCTCCCTCGCCGCGGCCAGCTCGTTCGCCAGAGCCAGGGTGCGCCCGCACTCTGCCCAGGCAGTGCCCAGGGGGGTCACCACCAGGGGGGTCGCCACTTCCTCGATGGAGCCCCACTTCCCCAAGGATGCGCCAGGCCAGAGCCCTCCTGAAACGACCCTAAGCGTTCAAACGAACTCTTCGAGCCTCGATTATGGAACCTCGATCCTAGGGAGGAACTGGCGACCCCCTGGTGATGGCCCCCCTTCAGCACTGCCCGATCTGCGTAGACTGCGGCGACAACCGAGGCCGGGAAGTCCCGTCCGCGTCTCTCGCCGCCGTCACCGCCCAGGGCGCCGACGAAGTTCCGGTCGCAGAGCTCTGGGAGCCGCCTGCAATACTCCACGGGAATCTCCCACGAGTCGTAGCCCTCCATGGCGGCGTCTCTGGCGCCACGGAGTACCTTGAGCAGGATCGCCAGCGTGTCTGCGTCTGAAGCGACACCGGTGGCCTTCTGGAGGGTGGTCCGCACCTCCTCCTCGGCGTCCTCAACCGGCAGCCCCTGCAGGACACTGCACAGCTCATCGAGCACATCCTCAGCCGACCCGCCCACTCCTGCCATCCCTGACCATGGGAAGGAGGTTGACGAGGGCGAGGAGGATGAGGGTAGCAAGATAAAAAGGGGGAAGGACGAGGAGGGAAGAGAGGGAGAGCGGGAAATAGAACAGGGGGGCGGGCGATGGCAGGTCTGGGTTTCAGGGACCTGGTTTAGTGATCTGTACCGGGGACGCCCCCCCCGTCCCATTCCACTAACCGGAATTGCCGTCACCCGAATAGCACCAGCTACCGCAGACCTGGTTGAGTGATTCTAATCCATATGTTGGGCTTCGGGGCCCAATCACTAACCGGCGCCCCTTAACCGGGGTCCTGGCTATACTTAAGTCGGGCGTGTCCCCCTACAGGGGGATTTTCCATGAACAAATGCAAACAATCTTCAAACAAATACCCTAGAATGGTCAACAAATGCTCAAAAAATAGTCCCCAGACTATTTTTTTACCATGTTTTGGCTATTGTGAGGGTACTTTTTATGTTTCGTCGAAAATCCCCCTGTAGGGGGACAGGCCCGACTCAAGGCTACACCCGAGGGGGGACCTCCGTGGCCCTTGTCGGTCCGGGAGAAGAGGGGGGGGAACGCAGACTACTTTTTTACCATGTTTTGACGATTTGGGGGATATTTTTTAGTTTTCGTCGAACAGGCCCGACTGAAGGCCACACCCGAGGGGGGACCTCCGTGGCCCTGGTCGGTCCGGGAG